AAAAAAAAAAAAAAAAAAAAAAAAAATCGGGCTCAACCTGAATCTTGCTTGCCTTGTTAGCAAACTCTTCCCTAAAGCTGGCCAAAAGAATGATGGGTTCCTGCAAGCAATTACAGCAATAGCTTGACTGCTACAACAATGGCGGCAACCTTCATAACCGACAATCATTTCTCATCATCCAATCCTGTCGAAACTCTCCGACACCGTTTTCATTCTGGGCCGAACTTCCGGGTCACTCTCTGTACAGGCGAGCGCCACGTGGAATACAGCAAGCACCTCTTTCTTGGCATGTACTTCTTGTAGAAGAGAAGGGTCAACCAAATCCGACAACGGCTTAGCTTCTTCAAACCCTTGCCTGACCCACCTCACCAAATCCGGAATCTCCAAAGAACTCGACCCGTTCGGAGAAAGCTCCGGCGGCTTTCCGGTGAGCAATTCGAGGACCATGACACCGAAGGAATAGACGTCCCATTTTTGGGTAGGGCGGGCGCCGGGAGCTCGAGCCTCCGGAGCGCAGTAGTTGTTGTTGCGGTCGGTTGGGGCGGATTTGAGATAGGAGAAGGCGCCGCCGATGAGGCCGCCAGAGGAGGAGGGATTGTTGCCGGTGATGGTGATCAACCTGTTGAGGCCGAAGTCGGAGATGTGGGGGCGGAATTCGTTGTCGAGGAGGATGTTGGAGGGCTTGATGTCGCCATGGACGAACTTTCTTGGGCTGCACTCGTGGAGATAGGCCAACCCCCTTGCAGTTCCCTTGCCAATTCGTAGTCTGGTTGACCATGAAAGGGTTGAAGATGGCTGCCCGTTTCTCCCTGTTTGGTTAACATCAGGAATGCGTCACATCAGTTCCAATTTCCAAAAGCTAGTCAGAGACCAAATGATAATAAAGAGTATATTTTTTCAAATAGGAATTATGGACAATGGTGGCTTAGTAAAGCGGAGGGTATAAACTAGTTGTATCAGTCGTAAGTCGTAATCGTAGGAGGGATTGTGCGTGATCTTATTTGATTATAACTCCCTCATTTTCTAAGAAGTTACTTTTCTCTTACTCGGGATGAACTACTCTCTTGCAAAGAGCCTTTCTTCTATTCATTCATGCAATAGGTGCATAGAAGTTGAAGCTTTGACCCGTAGGTCTTGGAGTTTTCTTTGATTATCAGACGAATACGAGAAGGGGTGTCAAGAATGCCATGGAGGTCACAAGGTCTAAAATTTTCTGACTTACCGTGGTAGGTTAGTGAGTTGGGGATTGGACTAAGGCAGGTATACCTAAAAGCTCAAAGCATCTAGACCCAAAAAATCTATCCAGCTCGAACTTACTCATTTTCGATATTATACTTCAACGAGCCAAAAACCATGGATATATACATTAAAATATTACACTTAGGTGGTCTCATAGATTTTTTCCCAAATTTTACACCTCCCTAAAATTATACATCAACTACACTTCAGGGTGTACATGGGTCGTGTTAGGTTGGGTTTAAGGAATCTTTTGGACCAATCCAAGAGTTCGGGTTGGTTAGATTAGTAACCCAACCTAATCCAAAAATTCCATTTGTTAAAAAAAAAAAAAATTAAAAGTTTTATCTATCCAAAATTCATAATTATTAGATACCAGATAACAAAAATATTAAAAATTCACAAACAAAAACAAATAAATTTATAATAATTTAAAAAACAACTTCACTTACATAACATGAGCATCAAAAGTGCAATAGTTTAAACAAAAATAAAATGATACTATAATATAAAAGTTGTATATAAGCACGTCAAAGTTGTTGGTAATCCTAAAATACCAAAATTTGACAAACTCATGAATATGTATAATATGTTAATGTATATTATAAATTTTTTGTTTGATTCGGGTCAACCCTAAGTTTTGTCCAATAAACTCGAAACTAAAACCGAATTTATTCGAATTTATAAAAAAATAAACCAACCCAAGACTTAAAATGATTGGGATTAAGACTAATACATTTGAAACTTCATCCTACCAACTATTTTCAAGTCACTTGGAATGACCTAATTGGGAATAGGCAAAGAGTTGACTGGTTGATTCTAGACTCGTAGCCTCAGAATGCCAAAGGAGCAGCGCCCACAATCCAAGGCTACGTGGAAAGTGCAGTGGGCACAGCGCGGGGACAGCCATTGTTGGATCCCATGCTTGGCAATGACATTAGGCACCAACCATTGTGCCAAAACTACACCCCTTCAAGTACCGACCCAAAACTAGAAGACAATTATCCAATATGGGAATTTTCTCCCCCACTCCACCCAGATAAATGTTAAAAAAGAACTTTGCATTAATTGTGTCTACGGCCGCCGAAAAGATCATTGATGAACGGTCAGCTGAGTGGAACCCATATGTCCAAAAGCTACCAGGGGTTGGAAAGTTAGCCCACTAATGTAATAACTAATTACTGGTATTCTGTGACGTAGAGACCTGAATTCTAGCTACGAGATCATGGAGATTGTGAAAATAAAAGCAATCCCAGAACAGAGAAACAAGAACAATCGGGAAGATTGTGAGAATTAAAGCAATCCCAGAACAGAGAAACAAGAACAATCGGGAAGATTGTGAGAATTAAAGCAATCCCAGAACAGAGAAACAAGAACAATCATGAAGATTGTGAAAATTAAAGCAATCCCAGACCAGAAAAACAAGAACAATCAGGCAGATTGTGAAAATAAAAGCAATACCAGAACAGAGAAACAAGAACAATCGGGAAGAATGTGAAAATAAAAGCAATCCCAGAACAGAAAAACAAGAACAATCAGGTAATCGAGTGGAAAGGAATGATTGAACGTACCACGAAGTGCAGAGGCCAAGTTTCCATTGGAGATAAAATCACTGATCAAGAGCTTCTCATCTGGCGCCCAGTAATAAGCTCTCAGTTTCACAATATTGGGATGTTTTACCCTTCCAATGGCCTGCACCTCCGCCGCGAACTCCTTATACCTCTGTTCTCCGCCTTCGCCCAGCCGCCGTACGGCCACCGGAATCCCATTTCCGAGCACCACTTTGTACACAATCCCCAATCCACTCTTTCCCAGCACATAGGCCGATGCTCTCAGCAGCTCGTCCAGCTCGAACGTAAAGCCTTTGTCTATGGCCACAAGCCCTCCTTCTTCTCTGTTTCCGTCACTGTTCTCCTGTTCCTCCATTTCGGACTCCTCGTTCTTATCATGTCCATTCATACAAGGAAAATTGCATAGATCGTTTTTCTGGTTCCCTCCGAGTTTTCCTTTGGACGTACAGCTACAGCCGTTCGGATTGTCTTTACTTCGCCAATATATGTATACTATTACCAGGCCGATAAACGCCACTCCGGCGGCATCGGCGGCAGAGATGAGAATGATTAATCCGGCGCCCAAGCCTTTTCCAGGGGCATTGTACGAAGGCCTAGAAGCCGGATTTCCCGGTGAGCCACGCTCTGAACTCCCACAGGATTTCTGAAGAGGAAATCCGCACAACTTAGGATTGTTGAGAAATGCAGTTGGTCCCTGATTTGCAAAAGAACCAGTCTGAGGTATGCTTCCACTCAAATTGTTGCTCCGGAGGTCGAAACTCACCGTCACCGGCAAATCTCCTAGCGTCTTCGGAATTTTTCCCGATAAATGATTGAAGGACAGGTTGAGGGTACCGGAAAGTGTCGTCAGTTCCCCCAAATCTTCCGGAATCGGTCCACTGAAATCGTTGGATGAGAGGTCGAGTTGATGTAAATTATCCATCTCGGACCACACACCAGAAGGAATTTCTCCTTCAAATTGATTTCTAGCGAGTATCAAACGCTGCAATTGCTTACAATTCTTCAATTCGTCGGGGATTGGTCCAGCGAAAGAATTGTTAGAGAGATCGAGGTTTTGAAGCCTCGGAATGTTGCAGATCGAAGGGGGAAAAGGACCAGAGAGATTATTACTATAGAGAAATAAGCTATGCAAAGAGGTAGCATTAAACAACTGCTCCGGTATCGAGCCGTAAAAATTATTGTTATGGAGGTTCAATCGCCGGAGATAAACAAGCGAACCAAGCTCAGAAGGAATATAGCCATGGAGATTCTTACCAGAGAGAGCAATCCCAACCACACGCGAATCACCGGAAACATTCATGCAAGAAATGCCAGACCATCGGCAAGGCGTGGAGTCATTCTCGTTCCAATCAGAGAAAATAGATGAATCAGGCGACTGATCAACCGCTGACTTGAGAGAAAGAAGCGAGAGACCGTCCGGCGAAAGGGCTAAAACCTTGCACGAGACATGAAAGTGAAAAATGAAGAGGAGAAACAACAGAGTCTTCTTCATCATCACCACCGTCGTTTTCCCCGAAAGCGGCGGCGACGGAGACCGGCGAAGGAAGCAATAAGCAGAAAAAATGGAGAAAAAGAGGAATCGAACGGCGACGAGAATATGGAGGAAGATCGGAGGTTGATCGGAATGAAGAAGAGGAAGTGAGATATGTTGTTAAAGAAGAAGAGAGGTGGTTGCCTATGAGAATGAAAGGATAAATAAAAAGGATAAAATAACGGTAAAAATTAAAATTACTCATTTTCATCTCCATTATTTCAACTTAATTTTCATTATTATTATTATTATATTGGTAAAAAGTAAATCTGAACGTTCGATCATGAAAAACTTTCGACGATTGAACGTTGTTGTGAGATCCCACCTCGGTTGGAGAGGCAAACGAAGCATAAGAGTATGAAAACCTCTCTCTAGAAGACGAGTTTTAAGTCCAACCTTGAGGGGAATGTCAAAAGAGTATCATATCTGCTAGTGGTGAGTTTAAGCCGTTACAGTTAGATTTAGGGTGTGGATGTGTTTGATTACAAGAATTTTGAGTCATAGTGTATCGGTAAAAATAAACGAGAGTCCATAAATGTGCATCTTATCTTAATCCCGAGCCTTTGTATACCATAATGTATGATTATGGAAAATGGCACGTGTTCTGAAGATCAATGTGGATGATCGCTTTCTCGACCCAGGTACTTGCTTGTCGCACATTCAGAGTGCAAATGAGATTGTGAAGAAAAAACGTGCGTCCATGTAGTCCAAAACTACTATCTTCGAGTAGTTTGTAGACATGGACATGGTATTCAAGAGAAGTCATTCAAGTAGAGATCGAGCGGGAGCAAGAGCAAACTCACAGAGTTTTCTCTGGATTGTGAATTAAACGAGAGGTCAAAAAGAGATCCAAAGGGAGATACGAGACCAAAAAACTTCCGTCAAGAGCTCTCTCAATTGAAAATTAAATAAAAGCGGTAAAAATTCAAAATGGAAAAAAAAAAAAAAAACACACGCATGTGCCCAAAATCAAGAGGCATGGTGGCTGCGCAAACAACCGGGATGTTCTGGCCTGAAAATTAGGTCATTCATTAAAAGAAAACCGTTGAATCCTTCTTTACCTAAAAAGATCGAGTACGTGTATCAACTTTTACACAAATTTTTTACTTAATCAAATTGTACTTACCGTTCAAAAATAGGTATAGTAATTTAATACAATGTTGCAAATTTGAATCTTCGACAATTCTCGATGAGCTATGTTTACTTCACTTTTACTTTAATTTTTGTAATTTGTCGATACCTCAGCACGAGCAATGTAAAGAAACTGGGAATAACTTTTTCCTGTTTGTTATCTTTTTGAACCGTTGTATAATTTAATTGAATTTAAAAGATTTAAATCATCGGGATGAAGTTCTAAACCAATTTGTATAATTAAATTAGCCCTTTTAAAACTATAGGATAAAATTTAATGCAGTTCCAACTCACGTGACCGAATAGAACGATTTGACATAAAATAATAATTAGAAGAAGAAAAAAAGATTAATGGAAGTGAAAGAAAAGGAAAGGGGAGAATAGAACTTTTTGTATGTTTTTATCATTATCTTTGGACATAATGCCAATGTTTGGTGTCCTAATAAACTCTTTAACAACCATTAATAAATGCAAATTTGTATTTCCTGCTTTTATTAATATGTTTATTTTTTAAAAAATACCTTAAAATTTTTGAAAATTAATTATTTTTTTAACTCAACTCAATCGTAAATTATTTGAAATTCATGTTACTGAAAATCAAATATTTTCCTTATATTCCTTCTTTTTCTTTTTTTTTTTAATTATTTACCTTCATTAAAAACATTTTGAATAACCAGCTAAATTTAAAAATAATATAGAAAAAAAAACAAATGGGATTCATTTAAAAAAGAAAATAGGTACTAAAAGAAGGAAAAATGGTTTGGAATTGAGGAAAAAAAAAACTAAATTAATAAAAATACCCATAAATTTGTGTATTTTATCTAAAAAATTCCTTTTCACTTTCACAAAAAAAAAAAAAAAACTATTATCATTAATTTTAGAGGTAAACTATTAATATTTTATTTAAAAAATTTTAACAATCCATTTCCACTAAAAAAATATACCACTAAAAAAAATTAAAAAAAATACCCTTATATCAATACTATGTTTAAAAACTACTTATAAATTTTAAAAATTTTACTTTTATTTAAAAAAATTAAAATAAAATATTACAATTTTTAAGAGTATTTTTTTAAAAAAAATATAACATTAAGAGTATTTTAAAATATATATATATATATATAATATTAAGAGTATTTTTATTAATAGTTTTTAAAATTTAAGAGCATTTTTTTAAAAAAAATATAACAGTAAGAGTATTTTTATTAATATAGTTTAAAAAAAAAAAGACAAAATGGGAAGGAAAGAAAAAGAATCAGGTGGGTGAGAGAGCAGAATAAGAAAAAGAGAGAACAGGAGAATGAACCATGAATTAAAAGCAATCATGACTCTACAACTAACGCCAATAAATATCTGACGGTCCACATTGACTTGATTAATTTCCTTTTTTATAATAATTATTTAAAAGTCACTGAGACAGTAAATGCATTATGAGAGAGGATTTGAGTGGGAAGATATATATATATATAAAGGATATATAAAGGATATCATTAAATCACAAACTAACTAATTAAAACTTTTTTTTTTTTTTGCATTGCTTAATCTAATCTTCAAGGATTCTTGTGGGAGTAGTTGGAAGGTCGGCTACTACCCACAACATGCAATATGATTTTATATTATGAATATGGGAAAATTAATTCAAAAGAAAAAAAAAAAAACCTAGTTTTAAGTTCACCGTGCACGATCTGACGATAGGAACACGCAGGATCTAACAAGACATGTAATATTTATGTATGAATTTCTGCACATATTAGACATTAAACATGTAATAGCAACTAAATAGTAAAATTAGAGTCGTTACTGTTAATCAATGTAACGGCCTAAGCTCACCGCTAGCAAATATTATCCTTTTTGGACTTTTCCTTTCGGGTTTTTCCTCAAGGTTTTTAAGATGCGTCGGCTAGGGAGATGTTTCCACACCCTTATAAATAATGTTTAGTTCTCCTCCCCCAACCGATGTGGGATCTCACAATCCACCCTCCTTCGGAGCTCAACATCCTTGCCTCGTGTCCCCACCCTCCTTCGGAGCTCAACATCCTTGCCTCGTGTCCCCACCCTCCTTCGGGGCTCAACATCCTTGCCTCGTGTCCCCACCCTCCTTCGGGGCTCAACATCCTTGCCTCGTGTCCCCACCCCCCTTTGAGGCCAGCTTCCTCGCTAACATTCGTTCCCTTCTCCAATCGATGTGGAACCCCTCAATCCACTTTCTTTCGGGACTCAGCGTCCTTGCTGGCACACCACCTCATATCTACCCCTTTAGGGCTCAGTGTCCTTGCTAGCACACTGCCTCGAGTCCAACCCCCTCTCGGGCTCAACATCCTCGCTAGCACATCGCCCAAAACTTAGCTTTGATAACTATTTATAATGGCTCAAACCCACTCCCAATAGATATTGTCTTTTTTGGCTTTCCCTTTTAGGTTTCCACTCAAGGTTTTTAAAACGCTACAAGTGGGAAGTTTCCACACCATTATAAATAATGTTTCGTTCTTCTTCCCAACCGACATAGGATCTCAAAGTCAATTATTCTAAACTTCCAATATTATCCAAATTGATTTTTAGGGGCATGTATTTGGAGATCCAAAGAACAAGAAAATGATTAGGAATTTCTGTCTCTACTCATACAGTCCTAAGTTCTGCATATGCCACAATGATTAGGGGGATGGAATCAATATAATACCACCTAACGTGGAGTAAAATTGACTCACCCAAATTTTTTAATATAAAATAAATAAAGTGAAAACAATATCTTATTCAATCTGGCTTCTCCTCCTATGTTCTCAAAAGCAAAAAGTTACCTAAAATAATTACAGCAAAGGATCATTTTCACCATCTTGATTTTTCCCAGTAAAAACAAAGCGTAATACCTGAGGTAAATTTGTTCTATCCAGCGATTTCAACCATTTCCTGTTCGACCGTATCAGCCACAACCGGGTAATATTTGAAGTGAAGTTCTCCAACATCATCACCAGATAGCTTCTTCCATCCATTTGGTCCAACATAATAAACTGGACAAAAGGATCAATTTCGAATAAATATATGCTTGTAAACCTGATATCAACGACATTATAAAGAAAGGGGCGATCGGGAAATACCACTAGCAACTCCACCACTTGCTCCGTCTCGGAACGTTGCGTGATAAATTGCTCTTCTAGCCAATTCGGCAGCTTCTTCGATTGATAGATCGTACCGATAGCTGCAGACATGTCGGATTATCAGAATACCTCAAATCCAAATTATAGTTTGGTGCGGTAAATATTAGATGAACACAACTCTCCACAATGGTATGATATTGTCCACTTTGAGCATAAGCTCTCATGGCTTTGCTTTGGGCTTCCCCAAAAGGCCTCGTACCAATGGAGAGAGTATTCCTTGATTAACCCATGATCATTCCCTAAATTATCCGACGTGGGACTTTCATCCAACAGTAAATAATTAGCAATTGAGGTAATGAAACAAAGCAATTCATTGAGAAGTGAATTTCAGGGGTTGTCTTAAGACTTTCGTGTTGGTTACGAGATTTTATTTCTATGAAATGAAGGACAAGCAATGAGCAAAAGATGCAATACCCGTTGTCCAGGACGCCATAAGCATAAGGCGAACCAGATCCAACTGAAAATCGAGTTCCCTTTAATCTTCCTCCTTCGCTGTCAACATAATACAATCCAGGACCCTGCAAACCCATAACCCATAAGGGAAGAAGTTTATATTACCAGAGAACATGAATTAAAATCTGTAAGGGAAGAAGTTAAAGACTTACAGTTTCATCCCATCCAGCAATCATGGTGCCAACAGAAAGACCCATTCCTCGGTAGGAATACAGGATGTTAGCGAGCAACTTGGATGCACCCGTCACTGAAATTCTGCGCTTGTTTGCCAACTCATGTAGTCGACACTATACGATGTCAAATAACTTCCATGAGAACGTTCATTTAAAATGTAAATTTATGAGATCAAGTTAATCAATGTCGAAACTCATTCTGTGACAGACGAACATCAAAGCATTAATTCGTTTACTGTGTTTCTCCTT